CTTTGGGTACAGGGGTTCAAAACCTGGTCCATCCATGAGGAAGTTGTGGTGTCTAAGTGGGTTCCCAACAGGTTTTCTCGAGATTTTCTTGTTTCCCCCTCGTTTAACCACTGCACCATATCATATATCTTCATCAACCATCCATAAAAAACATTCACTTCAGGGAAGGCCGAAATTGGTCAGATACTGAGGACTAAAACAGCACGTACTTTCTCGCCCGTATTTGCAAGCGAAATTACGCGAAAAGTACTCATATTTTCGAAAAAATGTACATGACTTATTTCAAAATCTATCTTTAAGGAACAGATATCATTAAGGGAAAAATCTCTATCTTCATAATTGTAGAGGTAGGAAGATGCCGAATTTTTATTTAACTTTTGCAACTTTTGAAAAATTAGGATTTTTAATAGGGTTGCCAAACATCCTCCATTTTGGAGGACAGTCCTTTATCGACGTCAATTGTTCTCTCGTCCTCCTCTGTATTTTACGTGTCCTTTATACTACCCAACAACAAAATTTAATCAAAAAGGCTGGAGCCATTTTTTTGAATATTTTGAACATGCTCCAGGGCCTCATGCAAAGTAGCCTCCAAAATTAAAATACCAGTTTCAAATTCAAGGGGCTGCGACATTAGCCAATTCAATTAAGGAATATCGGTTTTGGAGAAAATCGGCGTAGTTTACGAACGGACGGACGGACAGACGGACAGACGGACAGACAGACAGACAGACAGACAGACAGACAGACAGACAGACAGACAGACAGACAGACAGACAGGCGTTTTGTCGTCAATCGATTTATTTCAATCAAGGACCCACCAAACATGAATCCTACTTACACCATGTGTCAGAATTTTTTTACTCTAAATTTAGAAACTAGCTGTTTCCTCTTTTTCGTAAGCAGGGCCCGGCAACATTTTAAGCTGAAAATGTTAAGGCTTTATTTCCGCATTTATTTTGATTCCATATATTCAATATTACAATAATATTAGAGGGATCATAGTTCGGTCAAGCTTAGAGACCCTGAAGATATTCGTTTGGCTCTACTAGTAATCTAATGCTAGTGTACGATAATTAGCCTAGTGACCGCAGGGCTACATCCAGTATCAGTCATAGGACTAAAACGAATGCCCCCTAAGTTTCTCTTTAAATTTTTCATTTGAGGTTATAATGGAACACTATCCGAACACGTTTGTGTGTTTTCTGGTATTATCCTACAATCTCAAAAGGTGATCTACATGACGTAAGGAAAGTACCGGCTACGCAACGCGCCCAGGTTCGTGCACTGCAGTCGTTTCTTCCTTCTGGGCCTTACACGCGATCCGCGCAGTTCCAGTGTCGCAATGATGCCCGCGAAAGTCTTTCGCCGTCGACGCCCTCGCGTTGAGACGGCCGGCAAGATGAAAAGCGGTTTCGCGCCCCGTTCCCGTTCGCCTCCGCAAACAGAGGAAGGAGACCGAAACGGACGTGAGAATGTTTTGCAGCGTCAGCACTGTAATAGAAGGCGCGTCTAGAAGACACCAATTGGGGGAAATACAAATTTAAGGAAATATTTATAATGACTGAACTTTTTATAAAATAAATAATTTATAAAAAAAGGTGCAAGATCTCGGTGGATGGATGACATGTGCCAAGATATTTACTAGGCCGCATTACTCCCTGAGGAAGGTTGCAGAATGGCGACCGAAACGTCGGCACCTTCGCCATCGACAAGGCGTCACCCGGACAGCCTAGTAAATACTGACTCCGGCCGCGGAAGCCTACGCTCTCATGTGCCAAGATTTAAAGGTGTTGTGTGGAAAAGACTGAATGACTTAATTGAGAAAGCCAAGACCCACAAAGGGTTGCAGAGATAATGAAAGAAGAAGAATTTACACATTATCTTCTATATATTTGAATGTATAAACAACTTAAAAGTACACAATCTACTACTTTAGCTTTCTCACTTTTACTTCGTACGAAGATAACGTGTTGTTATCGTGCGCCGAAAAATGGTGAATTTTTGACAGAGCTCTTATTGCCGGTTCTGGTAACTCTCTTTGCAGCTAAAAGACGCGTCCATAACATACATATTATTATAGGACACTACCTTCTTTAAGCAACCACTTACTACTTGCGCATTGGCCCTCAACATAAACTAGTGGCGCGTACTTACTCGTCCGTACTTACACGTAAAATAACATGAAAAGTACTCAAATTTTCGAAAACTTGTACAAGACCTTACCCTATCTTTAAGGAACAGATTTCATGAACGAAATAATCACTATTTTCATAATTGTAGTTGTAGGAAGATGCCGAAAAAAATTGAATTATTGCAATTTTCGAAAAATGAAGGGTTTTCAACGAAAATGAGACTTGCACCATTCTCTTAAACGTCCTTTACACTCTCCAACAACCAAATTTAATAAAAAACGGTGGAGCCATTTTTTTTTAAAAAATTTTGAACTTGGGCAGACGGGCCACCACTGGGGCCAGGCACGGAACCTTACGCTTGCGGGAAGTCGAAGTTTGTAGAGGGCGACCGCAGCCTCTCTTCGTCTACCGTGATATCTCAAACCGTTCACTCAGCCTTCTAGGCAAATAATACGTCTGTCTTGTTTTCGTATTATTAATTATCTTATAACTGTTTTAGACAACAAAGATCTGTTTCTACTAGTGTCGACTGCATGATTTTCAGAACAATCGGCTTCTTTTCGGCAACCCGGCAATTCGGCTTTTCGCAACTCCTCGAGTCGCGAGAGAAATTGCGATTTCAGTGGTGCAACGGGCAGCTCACAAGCGGGGAACGGGGAAAGGGGAGAGGACTGACATGACGAGATGAAGAAGGAACCCCGAAAATGCCCAGGGCATTTATAGGCCTCGCAGATATTAGTCCCGCTCGTTGACCCGGCGTATACTAGATAATAATAATAATAATAATAATAATAATAATAATAATAATAATAATAATAATAATAATAATAATATTTATTTTCTGCTAATGAGCTTTCGCTCGGTGGCAGAGTTTTATAGCACTTATACAGAGATATTAATGTTACATACATAGGAATGCATATAATATGAAAAGTACAGCTAAGTAAAAACTAACAAGACCTAACATGCACAGTTATTTGGCATCACACGCAATTCTCTAGGCGTTTCCGGAAGCAACGCACACTGGAGGGAAAAGTCGCCAGTACTGCCCAGTACTGCAGTACAGATCATGCAGGATGAACAATGTGGAGATGGCGGATCAGCCCTTATTTTGGCCCTAACGCAGGTAGAGGAGACTAGATGAATGTAGAATCCTGTGTGATCCTTAGTACGTTGTTTAGAGATACGAAACGTCTCATGAACCGTTTGAAATACGATAGGTGGCAGCGAGACTTCTCGGAGAGATGATAGCGGTAGATGGGTGTCGATGTTTACCCCTGATACTAGCACACGGTGTATCTTCTACCTCCAAGCGCTACCCTTCCTGTTCTCAAGTAACTGTTGCGACGTGGAGCGTAGCGGCCAGACCGCTCGCTTTACGCTTCTGGGTGCTCGTGATTCAATCCTGGACCTTACACGTGGAACTCGCGAGCGAAGCGGATTCGGGACAAGTTTTTATTTATTTATACAAACAAAATAACACAGTTCAAAACGTGACAATGCTGGAATATCGCGACCTTTCAGAGAAGGCTTTCTCGCACCATTCGCAACATTGGCAAGTAGACAACAACAAGTGTAATAATATATTATTACGCCAAAAATAATTAAATTACGTAGGACGGTTGGCGAGAGTTAAACTAAATTTATTGTCAAAAGGAAAAAAAAGCGTGTCAGTATGCGATCAATAGAGCGATGGCAAACTGGACGAAAAGCACGATGGAGATGGTATCCTTCGCCTAGGAGTTTACGCGGTACAGTTTTTGCTCTTTATACGCGGTACAGTTTTTGTGCAGATGTTCTAATACAGTTTCTATACAGAAGCTTCAAGATTCCAAACTCGAAGTATAAAAGCCAAAATTAGCGCGTAGACGGGCTACGTCTTCTGCATGAATTCTGTATAAATCTCCACAAGACGCCGCTAGGGAGTCTTTCATATAACAACTGAATTGCGCCGTCCGAATTCTTTCAGTGGCGGTATTTTTGTGCGTTAGGCTGTGTAATCTATATTAAGTACTACTGGACACAGCAATGCGTCGCTATTGCAGTGTATTACACATCAAACATTACTGGTCACTTGATTGTTAATCACGTTTTACGCTACGCTGTGCAAAAAGTTTAATAGATGATAGTCTTTCTCGCAAGTATGGAGTTGTTCCATGGCTTCTTTGGTCATAATGGAGATATCCTATTGTTAAAATGTTCTCCCTAAAATAATTTTTTATTTACTTTTTTTACTTTGATTTACTTGTCTGAGATTCAAGTAATAATTGCGACCGATATTTCACAATCGCAGGGGCAGAATACTTGTAAGCATTGAAAACGCGCTTAATGCTTCATGGTACGATGGGTTGCATAAAGTGCAGGGGTGCTCGAGTCGTCATAAACGAAAAATTCATCATCAACAACGTTCCCACATGTCCTATTTAATTCAAACCATACTTTAAACACTCCCATTACTAAAAAGGACAAAGCGTGAACATTTCAGCGATATCGGTCGAGTAGATTTTGCGTCCATGTGCGACACACTTACGCACATTCCCTTTTATTTATATATAGATTAATTAACCATGAGGAGCATAGAGAAGAAAAACAGTAAGGTAGGAATAGAGAAAAAGATACTTTATTACAATATTACGCCACACAAACGCATATTGACACACCTAACCACAAAATCTAAATTGCCGGGCCGGGTGAACAAATCATTTAGAGAACGAGTCTGCCGCTAGAAGTGATTGAGTCAAACTGTAAGCTTTCTGCATGAAATATTAAGAACATGCTCGAACGTTTTCATGCAGAAATCGTGCAGTCTGGACTGCACGTTTTCTGTACATCCAATCTGCAGGAAAACTGCACCGTGTGTATCGGGCTTTAGAGTCGCCGCGCTGCCAGAGCCCAGCTGGCCTCATGGTAATAGAAGCGGAGCAAGTTTTCAGACCGCTCGCGCTTCAATAAAGGGAGGAGGCGCGTTAAAGACTTCTCCAGCAGCCTCTTGGGAACATACCTTCTCACATGATAATCTCGCAGGTATGCTGGGATGCGGTTGTGAAGTACACGACCTGCATCATTAAGAAGCGACGAACAGCAGTACAACCACGGAAGTCGACGCGACAACGATCGCGAGAACACAAGCAAATAGGCATATTGTGTAGGATCCAGAAGGGCCTTTGACACCGAACTCTCTCCGGCGAAATAATACCTGATGATGGTGTTCCGACGAAAGTACCATGGTCGAGATTAGCGGTTTCAGTGGACAGAACTATTACTCGCTGGTTGTGGTCGAACGGTTACCCGCACTTGTCCTCTCAGTACGTCACACATACGCACACACTTCTTAGCTGTTTGACGTTAAATAAATAAATAAATAAATAAATAAATAAATAAATAAATAAATAAATAAATAAATAAATAAAACAATTAGACTATCAGTTACTTTAGGCGTTTTTCACCGGCCATTATGAAAACACGTAATCACAACTTCTTCTTCGCCCGGTGAAACTCCTATCTTCAGGGTCCGGAGTGAGGCCTGATATCCCATTTCCAATAATACAGAAAACAACGAATCGCAAACTCCGAAACGTGAGACCAAGAATTTAATTTTTCTGTAACAACATACGTAATAGCACGAGTCTATGAGATGGGATGAATTACCTGATAAACCGGTAGAGAATTGTCAGAGCAGTTTCCAGTTGAAACTGATTCAAGGGAAGTGGATCATATCTAAATTATCAACTCAAGAATGACACGGAAATGAAAGCATGCTCGAGTGAGCAAGGAACAACGGTTTTGAATGGATGCGAGTTCTTTTCGAGTGATGGAAATTCTACTAAAATTTCCTCTGAAGACCGACATCAACCAGCCTATTTTCCGCGTAAACACGTCATAAATAAGTCAAGCCTGTTTTACAATGTGCAACTTCCATCCATTTATTCGGGAAGAAATTAATGTGTTTTACACGTACCGTATAAAATGTGCATACAAATGTTCCGTCTGACTATCGCACGTTTCGCAATCTTAAATATTTTGACGCATCGCGTTTCACCCCTTTGGTTTTGAGTTATTATCGAAATTTACAAATGAGATGATGATGTGCAGTATATTATTTTTGACGTGGATGGGTCCTTGTGGTTTTGGAAGGGGAACACAATCGTCAGAAACCTAAACATTAAACACCTAATTTTACACTTATCCAAAGGATCACATCACTGAGAAGTCAAGAATTGTGTTGTTGCAGGACATCTCCATTAGCGCTGTATTCATATTGTACGGAAAATATATTAAGAAAAATGATGGATACAAAAGCATACATCAACATCGAACGAACATCCATTCTATTCCATTCCATTCCAGTTCTACAAAAATGGATGAAAAATCCAATTTATGGAGCAGAAATAGAAATAGAAATAATAGGTAACATCAAGAACCTATACTAAGCAAAGACAGTACTTTCGTGTCGTTTTAAAACATACGCCAAGCTTCTGAACACATTTCACCCATTGTAACACAAATCTACAAATATTTTCTGCATAGGTATTCTAAATTTGTGAATATAGCTCTCGCACAACAGATTTTACTTTGGTATCGGAACAGAAATCTTTGCCAATCGAAAATATCGTTATTGGACTAAAGCATGCCATTGGGATGGGAACAGATCCAAACTCCATAGCGCCTGCTGGAGCATCACTCAACCTTTAGAGTTGCCAAGTGGTCGAGACACATTCGCTGACAATGTGAATGTCACTTTGGTGATATTATGAGGCCCTCACTTCACGAAAGTTAAATCGCTCATACACTATACTGTGCAAAACGTTGAACAAGTTTGCCAATGTGAGAAGTTGAATTCGTCGATCACATGACTCTGTATATAATTTGCACCACCTCATATTGATTCATAGTCTTCTGTCTACTCTCACACAATTTTCCCTGTGAATCTCTCTCGAGTTTTGCCTGTTGTGCACAAAAACGAATACCTCTGTGCTCTTTGAACCTAGAGACTTTCTCACACGTGCGAGATTTGCACAATAGTTCATTCGTTTGCCATTAGAAATACTCCTGGCCAAGAAACTGACAACTCCGGTAAGAACTTCAAAAATTACTTTCTATTTCATCCGGAAAATTTGACGTTTTTTGACGTGCAATCTCGTTTTGAGGCGGTTCCTAACCAGGTACATTCTTGAACAAAGGTTGCCGCTAACGGTGAGATTGCGACATATAAAGTTGATACCCCAGCTAATTGCATCTTTTTATAAGAACAGAAATCTAATGAGTATGTTTTTTGTCAACATAATAAATTTTTCTTTAAAGCGTATTTATAGTATTTATAAAATTATCTTATTAGTAAAAAGTTAAAACCAGGGTTTGTCGGAATGCTGCATCTTTTTGTGCGAATGTGTGTGTGAGGGGGAGGTGTCAGTGATTCACATATCGATCGTATATTGGCCAAATTTCCTTCGATCTAATGAACAAATGCTGAGAGGGTCTTGTGTTTCTGAACATGAAATGTTTCTCACATCCAAACGCAATTCTAATTTTTTTACCGTTTTGATGTTACATCAATATATAAATAAATAAAATACAACTTCGATCTTCCAACTAGCGTCAAAAGGCCACAAAGCACGCACACGCGAACGCACACGCAAGAGCGGAATGCGGAACGGCCTTCAACCTACCCTAGGTCTCGTCGCTCACGTGAATCCATATCCCTTCTTGAATTAAAGAGGACAAGTACATTATTGCACTACTTTATTGCGGAATAATAAAAAAAGATTAAGTAACACTAAAACCTGCCAAGTATTGATCATAGATGTTACTGCAGAGTACTATCTGCTACAACAAAGTCATGGATTCGACGAAATTATCCATTCTGATAATTGAAGTGAGCAGTCGATACGCGCATGAATGTATATAGATTGAATCCCCAAAACTCATTCGTACATTCAGAAATATGTTTATTAAATAGAACAAATTGTATAAATTGAAATGATTAACAAAATATAACTGCCCGAAGAAAAAGTTGAATTTTTTTTTAAATTATGGGAGGAAAACTTGTTTTGCTTGCCACAAATGAATGTTTTTTATACTCGCCTATTGAAGTACCTAAGACCAAGTATATTATATATAAAATACAATCAACAAACAAAATTATTCTAAAAATAGTTTCTACGATTTTCTTTTCCACAGAATTATAAGTATCAAGGGACAATAAATATATGAATTCGTTGAGTGTGAACAATCAAACGCGATCAAAAAGCACTGAAAGTTTTAAATAATACAAACAAGTTGAATTTCAAATATGACATAACTGAAGCAAGCAGAATATGCATAATGCTCACTCTGAAGACATCGTTCCCCATATATTTGCTACGATGCTTCGTTCTGGAGCAATGAAACAACCAGAGAAATGTCACATCTGACAATATACAATGGATCTGACACAAATTTATAGAATATATCTATGGCGAATATATGTCATATATTAGGAATATTTGCTTCATGGAGAACGTAATAAATACTGAGTATCTATTGTGATAATTTCTTCTTACGTTTATTCAAAACTAATGGTCATATATTTCGCCCCGTTTAATTGGGAAGTATTCAACTATTTTACAAGATTGATAAATGATCGTCGGATTGTGCAACATTGTTTAAATCAATTGAAAATGAGAGCAAACGTTTATACTCATTATAAGAACAGCTGTTGCAACCTACTGTTCCACGAGTGATCTACGTAGATTCGATAGGATATTAAGTAACTATGCATCCGAGCACACTGATTTGAGACAATATGTAGGACATTTTGAATATACGATCAAATATGCTAATCAAAATTTCACAATTTCTCAGAGTATATTAATGAATTTTAAGCATTATTGCAATAACAATTTTTGGGTATTAATATAACAGTTCACATATCAGTATAAAATTGAAGTAATTATAACAATCTACATAATAGTTAATAAAATCTTAATAGTTTTTTTTACACCGAGATCAAAACTCTCTTTTATACCGACACCAAAACTACCAATCCATTCTGAATATACTGAAATTGCAGTTACGATTTCCGTACAGATAACACGGATATCAAACGAAAGAGTATCGACTCTTCAAATATGGGAAGCGTAACACACCAATGCTGGGTGCGGGACTGTACTCACCAGCAGCAGTGGGAGAGAATGTCGGAAGGCTGCACTGGGCAGACCTCGCGGTCGGAGTTCGTTGGTTGCCATGGCTGCAAAAGAAAGCAAAAATGTGAAGCTGCTCTTTCAATCTCTTCGTAACACATGGTACTCGCCCAAAGGTAGCCCCAGGAAATTTTTAAGATCAGACCATTATATACAGTTAAAGGAAACGGTTTTTAAATGGGAAATATTTAAGTCATTTAGTAAGTTTTACTGAAATCATTATAGACGTTGTCATTGCCAACAAGAGTATTTAATATAAGAGCAGCTTTCGATGGCTTAACCATCATCATCAGTTGTCTGCTGGATGGAAGCCACAAAACGACTACTATTGTTGGCAATGACAACATCTATAATTATTTCATGTAAAATGCCAACGATAACGCACCAGAACACCTACAAGTTTTACTGAATTACTCTGCATTTGAACATATTACTTTATTATTTAATAATATTCTAATATTTTATATAATCAATGTGTATAAAGAGGCATATTGCGAAGATGTGGATCCAGTCCATTCATACTACAGTGTTCTTCCATCCCACAACTTTGATACTTTTCAGATTATACAAAGTAACTTGAAGAGGATTCCAAAGTGGAAACATCCACAGTGCAACTTGTAGAAACACTACGAAATATACTTTATTATTTGTACCAATGTCTACCAAGATTTTTGGTCGTTAATACTGCATTTTTGGAAACAACACAATTAATACATTTGAAAGAATTTCTCGAAGAGCAAACGTCATAAAATAGGTTTTCTTGTTGAAATGTATCAACAGCTCACTACGGAAAATTCACATACAATACATGTACATTGTTTTACAACACATCGCCAGATGACATAAAACAATTAAATTTGATCCACAAGTTTAAGCGCCAAGTAAAATATTTACTGCCGCATAACCGTGTCTACACAATTAGAGACTATACCGACCATCAAAAGGAAATTAATACTTATTTGAACACTATTATTGAATATATAAATTACTATTTGGATTGTATAATTCTAAACACCCTGTAATAAGTATTGTATCTTAGCTGCTGCGTCAATTATCTTCATCTGGATCACGTTTTACGCCCAGATTCCCTGATCTTTTGAGCTAATGCTGAAGTGACTCCTTGTTTTGCTTCTGAACATAAATATAACTTCAGGATCTCTGCACGTCTTCTAGTGTTCTGTAGGAATTATAGTTATTCAAATTATCGTTCTCTATTCACACACGCAGGAAGTCGATTCTTTCACGAAAGGTACAGTGGTGATAACAGCCAAAATCTATAACTGATTTGCGTTTGCAAATAGTTTTTTATCATACTGGAGCGAATATTTTCGTATCAATTCTTGCGAAAAATATAATTTACTCAGATGAAAATTCATCATGTACATTGATTAGGGTAGGGATTTCAGAATTTAGGAAAACCTGCACAGAATACACTTTTCCCATAGAACGTCACACACAGTTTTTGACGATAAATAAATGAATAAAAATGAAAAACTTCGGTAACTGAATGTACACTAGGAAGAAACCTTCAGTTGAAATTGTGGAGTTTTTTTTAAGAGTTTGATTGTGTGTTCTACGAATGATGAGCAATAGGGAAAATGGTTTGAGATGAGCGAGTACGTATTTGAGTTTAATGTAAGTGCTGATTGAGCTCAGTGTTGATATGTGGAAGAACAGGTAGTAGCGCTGGAACGCGTAGGCGTAAATGCAGGTGAAATTATGAAACGGGCAAGAAGTAACAAGGAAAATCTCAACGGTCACGTGATCTACTTTTTTTGTGGTGAAGTAATAGTGAGAAGGAAAGGAGACTTATAATATATTCATGTCTGATAAATTATCCGTTACATGCAAGTATCCTTAAAGACAATATTGAATCATTCCATTTATTTTATTTCTTTGATTTTGTTTGTTCTTGTTTATTTCTGTAATTATTGCCGTTTATTCTTCTAGTAGTTCATCTAACACTCTTCAGTAACTATAAGAGTACCTGAATGGCACCCAGTCTAGAAGTCAATATACCCTGAAACTAAAATCATAAGTATTAAACGTCCTATTGTAGTTTAAGGATGTGAAGCTTTGACAATGACTTTGAAGAAACAACAGAAATTAATTTCGAGAACAGAATGGCGAAGATCATGCGAGGAGCGGTGAGGAAATTCAAATTATGCAAATACGACTTGGATACGGAACATCAAGGGAAGATAAAGAGATAGCTACGCAATTATACATAACGTGCTGTATAAGATCACTCACGATATCACATTGCACTTTTCGATGAGATAAGCACCATTATAAAGATGTATAAAGGAGCTCCAACGAAGAGGAAGGCCTCCAGGAACACGAAGGCAACGATGGAGAGACAACGTCGTGCGCTGTGAGACTGGGGGATCCTATAGCGCACAAGAAGCTCAGAATAGGAAGAGGTGGCGCGTCATGTTGGACCACAGGCAGTACGTAAATAAACAAGTAAATAAGACATAATAGTCTCCTTTAGTTTACAACCTTCCGTGTAGTGTAATGACATCTTCCTCGAGCACATGGGATCTGATCGAACTCCACTACAACTGCATATGGCGTACATAACTAATGAAACATTTCAAATACAGGGAACCCTCATTAACACGAATGCCAAGGGACCAAAATAATAGGCGTTCGCTTTATAAAAATTCGTGTTACCCGAATATTATAAATCCATATTACTGGCGTTAACTACTAAGGTCAGTACTCCAGTTAGTGTAGCGCACGCAATATTCCTGGAGGTGGTAGTTGGTACATGAGATCCGGGGCCGACTACACGTCGGCTTGCGAGGGTTTCCCTTTCGAGGTATATTCCCCACAGGGACCCCGCCCCAACTGGAGCAAGCTTCAAAGCTAGGGGTTAGTCTCCCGAAATGTGAGGTAGTGTAGTGCATGATTTTTTAGGGTTTTGAGAGAAGGGGGCCAGGATGTGGAAGGGAGGATTACTCACACTGCTTCGGCTTTCGACTGGAATTTATCGAAGACACCTCGGAAAACTACCGGTCTGAGCATCAAGCCGCTAGAATTCTCCTCCGAACAATGGCTGAATTCGACCAAGCCAAACATTTAGAGCTAGCTAGAGTGAAAAATCCACCGTCGGGATTCGAACCCTAGTCAACGGTGCCGCAGATGAAACCGTGTTCTCGTTGATCTATCGTAGAATTAGATTATCAGAATGAAGGCGGTAAGTCGACCGTTCTGATATATGATTTCTGTGCATTTTCTGACTATTTCCAGGCGAATGTGGGGCCAGAAACCTGTACTATGGTGCCCGCGTCACATGTGCTCTTCTTTCGCGTCCCAAGTGGAAGCCGGACCGGAACCGTAATCTTCCCCTCATAAGCGGTAATGTCGGTGAGGAAGAGGCCTACATTCCACATCTAACGGAATATGGCTGCCTATAAAAAGACACCAAGAATCATCTACAGGACGTAAAGAATCACTGGCCATTGAAAGTACTTTTTGAGCAAATAAATAAATAATTTGACCAAGTTGCAAAATATATAAAACTATATTTGTGAAGTTATAGTGAGAAGCAGTTGAGTATATAGAAAAAGAGTAATAGCACTGTAAATGCTATTTTTGAGGCGTAACTCTTGCGTAAACGGCTATATTAAAGCGAACTATTTAATATGTTCGTTAATCATTTGTTTCGTCTGAATCGAAAGTAAAAAAGTTTTAAAATCGCGAAAATTCATTTTATTAAACACACATTCACGCATTAGGAAATATGATAATAATTATATTGGAGGAGAAATAATACATTGTTATGTATCTAATTAAAAAAGACTATGTACCCATACATCTGGCATTTAGGTTAAGTTCATTTGGATCTGCGATTTACGTGTCGTTGTTTTTCCTTTCTTCTAGGCAGACTCTTCAGCGATATTATTAATACGTTCTTCCGTCAGTTTCCCCGATTCATTGAGCAAAACATAATATGGACCCTTCCTTTTCTTCTGAACAGTAAATTCTTTTCACATTAAATACACAAGTTTTTCTCCTTCTCTCAATCTCACAGTTTACATTGTTTTAACTTAAAATATATCAATAATTGAATAAATTAATAAATATATGAAATCATGATTATAACACAGGTTATCGATCCTTGGAATCAGCAGATATGCTAATAAATATTTAGCAGTCGTAAATTTAAAATGTATTAAAGACAAAATGTTTATAACTGCCGTTCCCGCCTTCATGAAAACTTCTTTCCCATGACGGATTGACACATTCAGTTTTATTAACCCTGGAAATTTACGAGAGGATTCTGTATTTCAAAGCACAATAAGGTACATTGTTTGTACATACTACTCTATGCTTCAACCAATATATATGGTTTCCGTATACGTGTGAGAAAACGTTAGCCCCACAAATGCTAACTCAATGCCGACCGTAAACTAACTGTGGAGAATCACCAGGAAAAGTCATAACTAATTTTGAGAATACACACTTTTAACAAACAGTGGGAGAAGTGTTTTTCATCTTAAATTAGGCATTCAAACGCGGAAAGAATTATTAACACAAATGTGTTTCAGAAAAGACAGTTGTTCATTAGCAGCGTAATTACGCCTCTTTTCTTAAAGATTTGCATTCATACTATCTGGGAGAAAACGCTTGTATCCGTGCAGTGCAGGACAACTTTTGTCAGTAGGACAATAGCAATCCCACGAGGTATGCTCTGTAGACCAATACGCCTCCAAGGGATTCAAGGGCAAAGGGTTGAGAGCCATTGGTCTATTGTTTGCCACATGCAAATAAGCACGAGAAGCGCCTACCCGAGAAGGACTAATACAGAGGGTGAGTCACAGCGCCCACGAAGGCAAACACTCCAGCGGAAGGTGCGTGCGGGCTGCACTCGCAGAACAGGAAAGCGGCTCTGCGCCGAACGGCGAGGTAAACGAACCGACATCCGGCTTCGGAGCTTCAAGTCCTCCGATGATCCCGACGGAGGATGCGCTACCACACGAATCCGCCTCGTTAACGCCACCCATCTCAGGCGAGGACGAGAGGTGAGGGGGCGTCGAAGCGAACGGCGGCCGCGTCAACGGGATCGCCCACGGGCGCCCGTTCGCCCGTTCGCCCACGGCCCGGGCGCCCGCCCT